GGACCATCTCCCCTCACACTCCCCAGAGCTGACATTCCCTGGGGCTCACCGGACCAGTCCCTGCTCCACAGGACCATCTCCCCTCACACTCCCCAGAGCTGACATTCCCTGGGGCTCACCGGACCAGTCTCTGCTCCAGGGGACCATCTCCCCTCACACTCCCCAGGACACTGAGAGAGAGCTGCTATTTGTTTGCTCGTTCTTTTGTTGGAAAGATTTATTTATTTAATCCCATTTGTTACTACCATTTTTTCAATTTGATCAGAGAAAGAGAGAAAGGGAAAGTGAGAAGGCAAGCTGCCAGGTCCGGGACTCAAACTTCAGTTGGCCATGTGGGAATCCAGTGCCTTTAACTACCATGCAACCTGCTGGCCCCCTGGGCTGCCATAATTAACCCCTTGAAAAAATTGATGCTCAGGAAGTTTAAGTAACTTGTCTAGGGCCAGTCAGTGAATTTTGGAAAGCAGAACTAAACTGTGGTCTGTTAGGCTCCAGAGTCTGCTTTGTTTTTGGTTTTTTGTTTGTTTGTTTTTTGCCATAGGCTACCAGAGCTCCCCGGAGAGAGACAGAGAGGAAGAGTGAGAAAACACCCCCCAGCGGGGACCCCCCAGAGGGGATGGCCACACTCCAATCCCTTCTCCTCCGGTCTCCTCTTGGGATTTTGGGCACACACATATGTGTATACAGCATGATTTTCAAGCTGCCAGGTCTGGGGCTTGAATCGTGGCCAGCCATGTGAGGATCCTGTGCCTTAACCACCATGCCACCTGCTAGCCCCTTTTTCCCCCTAAGAATTTTCTTATTTAACTTTATTTATTTATTTTTATTTGACCAGAGAGGGACAGAGTGAGAAAGAGGAAGAGACATAGAAAGAGAGAGAGAGAAAGAGAAAGTGAGAAAGCAAGCTGCCAGGTCCAGGACTCGAGCCATGGTCGGCCATGTGGGAATCTAGCACCCTATACTACCACACCATCTGCCGGCCCCTGGAGTCTGAAATGTTTTTTAAGAAAACTTTCTATTATGCAAAAAGTTCAAAAGAAAAGGACGGTGTAAGTGAACCCCAAGCACCCATTACCCAGCCTCAATGAGGCTGCCAATCCACTTTTGTAAATCTCCTATTTTTTTTTCTTTTGTGCAAATCCCAGCCTTCATAAAATCTTAACCACTAAATCCGATGGTCCCTCCACTAATCCCTGGCTAGTAAAGAGACCCACATGCCACACCACCCTAGCTTCAGGTACCTGGTAGGAGGTGACAGGCTTGTGGAAGCTCTTGAGGGCGTTGATGGCCTTGGCATAGCCCAGGGCCCGCCACTGGTCTCCCTGGACCCTGTAGGCTTTGGCCAGCACCTCCAGCTTCTCTGTGATGTGGGCGTTGTGGTTGGTCGCCTTCTGGCTGGAGGGCTGCGCACAGACCCACTTGTCCAGGGCCTCAGGGACCGGATTGGGCTCAGCATCTCCCTCAGGGGGTGTGGGGTAGTGGCCACTGATCAGAGCTTCCAGGTCAGCTGCGCTAACCTGGGTCTCTTCCCCATCACTGCTTTCGTCATCAGTGCCAGGCTTGAGGTGGGGAAAGAGAAGACTCAGTAAGTTTTTTTTTTTGGAGAGGTTTTTGCTATAGGGTACATGCACTCGCCAGAGAGACAGAAAGCAAGAAAATCACCCCCGGGGGGATGGCCATGCTGCAATCCCTTCTCCACCATTCTCTCGGGATCTTGGGCATACACGCACATGCGCCCGGCATGACTTTAGCCGCTCACAGGCCCCCGGCATGACTTTAAGCCACCGGGTCCGGGACTCAAACTGCGGTTGACTACATAGGAGTCCAATGATGTAGCCATTATGTCCACTGCTGGTCCTAAGACTCAGTAAGTTCTTGCCTTCCATGAAGAAGGCTCCTCGAAGGTGGGGTTTCTTTGAGGGGTGTGGGGCATCCTCTTAGACACTAGACACTGGTTTTCTGGATCAGATATGGGTCTCCTGACATTGGGGGCTGTGTTTCATCCACCTGGCTTCCCCCAGTTCCCACCCTAGGGTCCATCCCCAGGGGCTGGTGGTGGGCATGGCTCATGGCAGGGGCGTCAGGAGGAGCTGAGTGGCTTCCCACAGAGAGTCTGCCCTCTCAGGGACCTGGGGCCTTCTGAACCCCCTCCAGGCCCTCCCTGCTTTTGTGATCGGGTTCCCAAGGAAAGGGAGTCACAGAGGCCCGGAGGCTGCTGCTGACCTGGGCTTGGGTGCTCGGAGCCTCTTCTGCCTGTCGTGGAGGAGAGACAGGCCTGGCAGGAGGAGAGGGAGGAGTGTGCGCTGTTCTGGGCAGAGCCTCGTGGGCACCAGAAGCAGGAGAGCCTTGGTCTGCCTTGCTGGGCTGTGGTTGATCCAAGTACCTGCCGGGATGGCAATGCCAGGGTAAGATACCAAAGGTCTCACCCTACCCCTGACCCCAGTTCATCCCTAGTCTAACCTGGTTTCCAAGTATGTCCCATTAAGAAAATGAGAGTTGGTGGGGCCAGCAGTTGTGTAATGGCTATGTCACTGGACTCCCATATATTCGATTGCGGTTCGAGTCCCAGACCTGGTGGCTTAACTCACAGGACTGAGGCATGGCTATCCCCCCTGGGGGGTGATTTCTCACTTTCTGTCTCTCTCTGTCTTTCTGGTGAGCATGCGTGCCCTATAGCAAGAACCTCACCACAAAAAAAAAAAATAAAAGGAAAAAAATCACAGTTGGGACCAGCAGTTGGTGTAATGGCTATGTCATTGGACTCCCATGTAGTCAACCATGGTTCGAGTCCCAGACCCGGTGGCTTCAACTTACACCAGGCATGTGTGCACGCATGCCCAAGATCCTGAGAAGAGAATGGAGGAGAAGGGATTGCAGCGTGGCCATGCCCTCTGGGAGGTGATTTCTCGCTGTCTCTGTCTTTCTGGTGAACATACGTGCCCTATAGCAAAAACCTCTCAAAAAAAAAGAAAGAAAAAAGAAAATGACAGTTAACAGTGCAATGAGAGAGCGCGGGACGCTGCCAGTGAACAGGACCAGCTCACCTGTTGGGGACAAAGATGCTGAATCCGGCTGTGTCCACCAGCCTTCTGTCCTGCAGGCACAAGCTCAGCCAGGCTGACTTCACCAGCTGGGCACCCGGGGGCAGCCGGGGCAGTTTCAGGAGGCGAAGGGTCCGCTCACAGTCCATGCCTTCATCCGCCACAATGTAAGTGACCCCTGGGGCTTGGGCGGGGCATATCTGGCCACCATGCTGGACGATTTGCTTTTCGAAGAGTTCTGCCCGGGTTCGTCCGATGCCAGTGGGCACAACATGAGCCCGCAGGGGGCTCAGCCACTCTGCAGAGAGGGGACATGCAGATCCTGCTGTTCTGTCACATAGGATCTGAGTGAACCTTGACAGTCCCCTCCCCAGTCCATCCAGGCATACCGCCACAGAACATAGCAGACGTCCTCAGGTGTCACCTGAAGGTAGTCGGATGTATTTTGTCTATGTGAAAATGCATCGTGACTTTTGTGACAACCCAATATATGGCCTGTTCTCTGGGGAGCCTACAACAGTGTCTGGCTGTTGTAGCTAACCTAGAAATGCCTGCTGAGTGAACGCCACCTTCCCTTCCCCGCTGTGAAGCGCCTGTCTTATCGTTTACTCTTTCTACAAAGCACACGCTTCTTTTCATTACATTGTCCTCACCCTCACAGTCTAGCAGAACACACACACACACACACGCGCGCGTGCACACATACCCTCTCCCCAGCTCCCTGGGCCTCCTTCATCTAGTTGTCAGTTTGGTTACAAAACAACTCACATGCCTGAGGATGTGAGGGCGATTTCTGTCCTGCATAGGATTCTGCTGGGCATTTCCTGAGGGACCAGGGAGACTTCCCTTCTTTTAACTTTTTGCAAGTTTCTTTCTTTCACACGAGAGTAAAACTGAGAGAAAAAGCACAGGCATGGGGGAGGGGAGAGGCACCCTTGCCGGGTTTCATCGCTCGGAGATGTGCTCCCCTGCCCCGTCCTCCAGCTTGCCGAGACTGGGGCACACGTGCAGCCAGAGTTTCAGGTGGAATCCAAACCCGCAGTCAGCCAGGTGGGGTCCAGCACTGCCCATGAGCAGACCACCGCCCGCACCATAGCCGCTGGGCAGCTCGCCATGTCACCATCTTCCTGCCTTGGCCTTGGGAGTGGATGAAACCATAGGTATGCACCACTGTGCCAGGCTTTTAGGATGGGCTGGAAATAGAACCTAGGCCTCCCACGTGGCTCCAGCCTGCCAAGTATCAGTGTCTACCAGGGAGTATTTTCTGACTGATAGAGGTCTCGGGGTGAAGACGGTAATGTAGTAAGTGACCTGTCAAAGACAGGGGAGCCTGTACAAAGCAGGTACAAACAGACCTGTGGGCCCTGAACTGGCAGCACTGGCTCCAGGACCCGGGGCAGCCCGGCCCCCAGTCCCTGCCTCTAGCCAGGAGTGATGGAGAGCTGAAAACAGGAAGGCTGAGCCTTCAAGAGCATGAGAATTCTGAGTAAGTCTGCTCACCTCCCGAGTCTTCTTCCTTTTCCCTCTTGGGAACCTTTGCAAGAGCTTTTGATGATGGATTGGCATGAATTTTCTTCCGTTTGGGAAATGCCTTCAAGATGCCCCTGGGGTCCATTGAAGCATGGCTGGATCCTGGCCTGTCCCAGGGTTGATCAGGGCGACAGTCATATGGAACTCCAGAATGGTCACCCACCCCATCCCCACCCAAGCACTTTGCCTGTGGAGGTGGGGCTGTACTGCCCAGGCCTTGGGGACAGTGGCCTTAGACCCTCTTAAATGTCAGCGGTGTCATCCTTTCTACTCACCAGACTTTCAAAGTTAGAGTACTGGGGGAAAGGAGGGGAAGACTGAGACTGCTGGGGTGAGGGTGGATTTGAGGGGCAGGAGCTGTCATCATTCCTCAGAGGGATGTTCTGAAGATTCAGCACAAGGGGGCCGGCAGGTGGCCTAGTGGTTAAGGGCGCTGGACTCCCACATGGGCGACCGGGGTTCAAGTCCACGACCTGGCAGCTTGCTTTGTCACTTTCTTTCTTTCTCTCTCTCTCACTCTGTCCCTTTTTAATAAAATAATTATTAAAGAAAAAATTCAGCACAGTGTCTGGAGCTATTGCATTCGGCTTCCAAAGGGTACCCAGAAGAGGATGCGGGCTAGGGAACGGAGGTACGTGTTTAGGAAGGGCTTCGGCTCTGAGAGGAGTGGAGACCAGGGGAAACCTGCACATACACGCCACTTAATCTTCCTCAACCCCCCAACAGACTCGCAGCGGAAAACCGGGCGGGGGCACTTCAAGCACCGGGGACGGCTGCACCTGCCCGGCTCGGGCCTCGAGGCACCGGGGTGCGCAGCGCCGCAGCTGCGGGGAGGTGGGGCAGGCC